AAAATGTGAATATTACAACATTTACAAGAAAATGCTTTCATGAAGGAATAAATTTGATCTATTCGTAGGGAACTGATATGTTCATCGTTATGTTGATTCACCATTCATCATCGATGCGCAGGCTGTTGCTTGTCTGTAGTTATACTGTTGTAACTTCAATGCTCGAACAGTCGAACCAAACAAGAAATTAATATAAAACACTAACTGTGTCTACGAGAACGGTCTTATACTGGCCATGACTCATGAGTGGCGGTTGTGTGTTTTCGAGCTCCATGCAAATTTGATTTATACTAAAGCTCAAACATACATGCAACACAGAGTACTTCAATTATGCATGATACGATTACATCATTAAGAAAGGAGTAACGATGCTTTAAAGCTCCATGCAGATAAACTCTCTGCAGCAGGACCTTGTGAAATTGCGAAATACGATTGAAAAACAAAAAAAAGCGCCGAAGAAGATGAAGAATATGAAGCTAAGTACAACAGCTCGAGTTCAAATAACTGAATTTCAACATAGCATTGAGTTTTTAAGCGCCAAATATGATACTCTGAGCACAAAGGAAGGGGCAGCGAAGAAGAATTATAGAAATTAAGTTCTCAAGGCTGTTGAAATTAGCGGCCAAAGTAGTCGAATTGACGATGCACTTGAGCAGTTACAGCAGTGCAGCTATACCAATACAACATTAAAATCGTTGGCATTCCTCAACAAGAAGTAAAAGAATCGGCGTACGACACTATAGTATATGCTCAGTGTGTAAATTACTCCAAAATATGATATCAGAAATGCTCAATAACTAAACTGTTGCTTGAGGAACTGCCATATATAACTTACTACAAACATTGAAGGACCTTGATAAATACAACGTAAGGGGCTTGATGCGCTACTTGGAAAATTTTCAAACTTACTTATATCACAACAACTTCATTATAATTTCAGTGTTATAGATATTTCCCCAAGACCAAAATTAGAGATGATAAATTCTCTGACTTCAATCCTGATTTAGAAAATTATAGATTTGAATTTTTTTCAAACACCATTATAGCTTCTGGAGGTCGGATTGTATTTCTGAAATGACTTATCTTACACAGTCCTTGAAAATTTTCCAACTCATATTTTCAATCTCTCTGGGTTGAAATACACTTTACAAATAAAACTATACTTTACAAATAAAACTATACTTTACAAATAAAACTATTATATGTGGTGTAGTATATATAGATAGATAGCATTATTCGCCGGAGAGATTCAAACTTATTTTGAGGACACTCTTGGAAAATTAATCCAAATCTCAAAAAACAGTTCTCTAAGACACGGATAACAAAAGGAATCAGGAGATCAATTAAAATAAAAAACAAATATTAATTAGCTATTTAACTCTGTATTAGTAAAAATTTATATTATAACCAATATTTTAATAACAACATAAAAAGTATGAAAAAACCTGGGACTAGGGCACAAATAGTCTGATCAATCGCAAGAGGACTAAACACAAAATGATTATACGACAATCAAATATCCAACCATGCAGAAATGAAATGAATATAGAAATCCTGGAGACATTCCCAATAATCTCAATAAATATTTCTCAACCATAGGAATCAATCTAGCTTCTAAATTACGCTATCCCTCAAAACATTTAACCAATATCTCAATACCACTAATTATCCTGGTTCTTTCTTCTTTGACCCCATTTCTCCACACGACGTAGAATGTGGAATAAGTTGTGCTAAAGCTTATGGACTGTACTTTTGTAAAGCGCACGATTATATCTTTGTAAAGCGCTCGATTTTCTGCTCTTGGGAACTTTTTTCATAAAAAGCACTGGGGCAGAAAAAAAAGCAAAAGCGCGAAAATAGACCCTTTTAGTAGGCATATATAATGGACCCACCAGTAGCTGCCTTTGGGCTTATTTCAGAGCAGATCCGTTTTAACAGACGACAACGTGCAATGGCCTCGATCATGCTATCCACCGTATACGTTCGTTACTCGATTATTAGTATGTGCGGGTGGGTATAAGAATAAAATAAGATAATCTGTAATATACATGGGGCTGGGACAATACATTTCTCCCATACATTTTTCTCCATATTTTTCTCCCTTCGAGTGCTCTTATAATCAGAATTACACGAGCGCGCCGTATATAATTCAAATTCATACCTCGCACTCTCCGGTGGAAATGTATGGAATAACTCACATGTAAAATGAATAACAAACAATTTAAACAGAAAAAAGAACTTTATTACTAAGAGGACAATACTGTCGTCCCAAATGAAACAGGAGGAGATGGTTTATAATTAACAATTATTGGATGATGTTTTTGTGATATGCGGAATTATCAAGGTCGAGGTCGGCGAGGCTGATAACGTTTATACCGAGACCTTGATAATTTTGCATATCGCAAAAACCGAATTCAATAATTGTTTTATTATACATTTGAAGAATAATAAACATAGTATTAAAATACTATGTTTATTATTCTTCAAATGTATAATAAAACAATTATTGAATTCGGTTTTTGCGCTATGCAAAATTATCAAGGTCTCGTTATTACTAAGCGTTATATTCAATGTGATTTCTGGCAAAGCTGTTCAAGTAAAACGTTTCTATAAACAAGTCTCCGGAAGTCCAACAGTTAAATTAATTACAAATATAAAAGAAACATATTATCGTTAAGATGTTAACGTATTAAAATATTTACTTGTTAAAGTAAACATTACAATTATGAAATGTACATTCATTTGAAAATTGAAATGTACACTCATTTGAAATATACACTCATTCAATTTCACGCAACCTACACAAAATTCAGTTATCTGCTAGCAGATAACTGAGTTATCTGCTAGCAGATAACTGGATTTTGTGTAGGTTGCGTGATTGCGCGATTTAACTGTAAGCTCTTAGCCAATCAAATTGCTTTTACCAACTACAATGTATAATAATAAAACTTATGAGTATTGAATGTTGTCGTGTTCATCCAATCGGCCATTGACAATATTGTATCAATACTTAGACCTGCCCGTTTTGCAGATGACGTCGACGCGCCTCTTACTGAGTGTCCTTTAAATATTTAATCCCAACAAGGTGAATAACTTCTTTAAAAAGCAGCTTCTTAAACAGTTTCTTTATGCATAAAATTTACTTAAGTTAAGCTTTTGTGCACTTGTGGGTTCAATACGTTATTTCAATAGTTTTGGGTTTGGGGGATACCCTGTATAAAATAACCATGCATAAAATTCGAGTCAATTGTGGTTACGTGCCCGGGCCTTCGGCACAGTAATAAGGCAAAAAAAATGTGTGTTTACTCAAGAAATTGAGTTGGTGTAATTTACTGATCAACCCTTGAGTAAAGTAAATTTTTTCACTCTTTGAATAGTGGTTACTACTCAAAGAATTTCACTGAAATGTTACTCAAAGTATTTTACTCAAGTTTATAGAAGTAGAATCCTTTTACATCGCTAGAAATCGCGGACATTTGAATCCTGAAACATTCCTTACGTCTGTGCTTATTACCCCTTTCGATCCCCGAAATTTCTTATTCTAAAATATAACTAAAAGGATTACCAAAAGGATTACAAAATGTAAACAAACAAAAAATAGAAGAAAAGAGCTTTCGAATGATATATTTTGGGCCATTTGCGAAATATTAGAACCTGATGATTGTGTATAATAAACTAACCTTCGATTTCACGCAAACTTGGAATGAAACAAATAATCATTGAAACCACAGATTGCGGTATGCTAACAATTATTTCGGCTACTAAATCTGCATATTATTTAAATTTTACCATACATTTTAAGTTCACCGATCATTAAGCCATAGTATGACTTTGTAAAAGGTGGATTATTGTCGTCTCAATAAATCAGTTACTAATCCTGCCCGTACATTTACTGCGTTGTTGCCCAGTTTTAAGTATCGTAAATAATCATTATATTTTATTATTGGTTTTAGTTTGCTTTCTTATTTCCTTGATTAGTTCAGGGAATTTTGTTTCCACACTGCACAATATTATTTGGTATGGTTCTTAAAAGATATTAATTTTATGTAAAAATTGGATAACCATCTGCATTCCTGATAAAATTGAATATCAGGACTGGGGCAAGAATGCATGCTGCATTCCAAATGTCCGCGATTTCTATCGATGACGCGGAAAAAGGAGTACAATTTACTCAAATCGGTGCAATGACTATGAATCTGAAATGAAACTAATTTAATGATTACAGTGATAATAAAATAATAGACCTTTCTTAGAAAACACTAATGCGATGTCACAAGCGATACTATATTTAGCGACAACTCGCAATGCAAATCATGGTTTTACGATTTATTTCCAACGCCAACGACTTGTATTGTCCTGTGGTACATCGCTTAAATTGGTTTCTGCGTTTTTACGTCATTATTATAATAGGAAAGTTCTATTTAACAAATAGATAAGATTTTGCCGTTGCCTTTTCAGTTATAGATATCAGATCTTCCCACATGTTAATTGCATTTTAATAAATAATCAGTTCACATGCAAGGAACACCATAAACATCATTTGAAATATATAGCTGTATGCTTCGGTGCGTTTGAGCGTTCCTTTATTACCTCCACCAGGAGGTTATATTTTCATCCGTGTTTGTATCTGTGTGTGTTTGTAGTCTGCACGACAACTAAAAATATCACACGTGTTAATGTTACGAAAATATATATATAGGACTGATGATCGGACAGTGTTCTCCGAGAAAAAATTGGTTAAATTTTGGTTAATTAATTGGATGAGAAGTTAGCGAAGGTTTCTCTTGTTTTAACTGAATGCGTAATTAGCCCATTGTATAATTTATGCATGATACATTGCATTACATGCATAGCTTATTGCGCTGGCGGAGGTAGCCAGTCTCCCAGTGCCCTATATATACAGTATTAAACTGTAATAATAATAATAATAATAGCGATTGCATGAGTATACGTAGTTTTACGGTGAACCTGCCTATTTGGAATAAAAGGAGAAATTTAATGCGACATTGTATTTATTCAATATTTTTGCAACCACTACATTTTTATTCTATTCGATTACAGTTAAGAAAAGTTCCTGGATCCCACGTTCCTATGTCCATTATTACTTCATTTACTGTCCAAAGAATTCACGGCATTCCTTCTCACACTTTTCACGGGCGAGGAGGCATTGCAACTTCTCAGGTAAGCTTTGAGCTGTAAATACGCAATCAGGACAAGCAGAAACACATTCTTGAAAGTCAGCATTTACGACTACACCAGCAACCAAGACCAGGAGAAGTGTGAAAACTAGAACTTTCATCATATCCTGAAACATAAAGTATTTTTATTATTTTGATTCCGTACAATAAAGTGTTATAATTTGACCTATTTACTATTTAGTGCCGAATTGGCTAGACGTGCATGCCACTTCCACAAAAGCGCAGGGAATGACTAAACGAAGCAAAGTTATCACAGACTGAGTTATATCATCGGGTGAATAGGGGTATACAAATCCGCCGATCCGCCCAAATTTGAAACAAAATCCGCTTCGCGCCACTTTGAGCTACGCCACTTCTTCCAACGACCGTACTCCAAGGGTTTTTTCAATTGACCCGAGAGAGGGTTAAATTTGACACAACTCTCTTCCGTCAAAATGTAAATAAATATGCATCTGTGATGTAAATTTAGTAAATAAACCAAAGTAGTGCATCGAATGCCGCATAGTTTTGAGAAGCCATTGGGCCCCAAATGCCTATATTTTCGTCTTGTTGTCAAAATAAGTTAGTATCGAGTAATATATTGCATCTAAAGTTCTTGTTTCTTCAATATCTCAGCCACACAGAATACCATTTTTCGCGAACCCGAATCTTTTAAATTTCAAAAGTAGCCAGCATGCCGTTGAAAAGCTGAATGAGTAAACTAATAAAGACGTGAAATGATTATAATTAATAAACTATTTGCTTTATTATTCTTTTCAAAATCTACGTTTTAATTGAGGACTCCATTTCTTGATACACCTTGCATAATTTTATGAAGTGTCTCATCCCATGCATATAAACCAAATAACTAATTAACTATATTATTTTGTCTTGCATTTCATTGCCCGCTGGGGATGCACATGCATACACTCAACAAGCTGAATAAGCATGCATGTGCAACAAACTCTTTCAAAACGACCAATTTTTACTCTATTTTTTTCCTTCAAATCAATACCAGTCATGTTCTTGCAAGTGAAATTGAATAATATTCAATATTTTTATTTTCTATATATAATTATCAATAGCATTCAGTGCATTTAACATGACTCCTCTCTGTTGGACTGAAATGCGTTTTAAGAAGCACTAAGAATGATCAATAGTTACAATCTACTTACAATATCTGAGGTAAAATCTGGAATACTTCTCAGCGATAATTGTATCTTTCCGTGAAAATGTACCTTTGATATCAACGTATCAAGTTTATAAACCAATATGTTTGCAGTGACCTTTTGTAGTCCTACAGCTTTTATACTACAATACAGCGCGGGCGTTTGCCTACATTTGCATACCAAATGGCTGGGCAAATATAATTAACGGGTTATGATAGAGGATCTTGGCACGTTCTTCATCTCACTTAGGAAATGCATCTCACTTAGGATCTTGGTACGTTCTTCATACACTTAGGAAATGCACTTAATAAGTACCAAGTAGTAGACTTGTATAAAGAGTACATGCGCATAAAATGTCCCCATGCAATGTATTTTGTAAAACTACAATGTTAAATCTAGTTAAACAATTTTTAGCATGGATGTAATTGCCCTAGAAATTAGGATATTGAAAAGAGTGCTCATGCACCAGTTCACTATAAAACAATCAGATGTATACAAGCAAAAGTATAAGACGGAAAACCTGCCAGCTTTGTAACCGAAAGAAAATGGCTCAAGCTGCGGTTTTATTCATATACGAAAAAATTTTATTTTATTATTTTATTATAACACACTGCAATTAATAATCTAGTTTATATTATACAGTCTGTATATTGAAGCTCTTACGTTTCGTCGACAACAAGTTAAGCGCACTTATATACGCACTTTTCATTTTCATGTTTAGGAGTTATTGAGAATGGGGAAATATAATGTTTTGAGAATGGGGAACTGAATATGGTTTTGAGGACGCGGGGAAATATAATTTTTTGAGAATGGGAAAAGATGTCTTGTCTCCAATGCTAGTAATAATTGCACAGGAAAAGATTTAGTAAAACCTATCATTTTTAGTTGCTGTTTAATTATGCAAGTTTACTATATGTTATTGTTTAGTCGGTTTAAATGTTAGAATTTTCTTCTTTAAACTTTAATGTTGTCGTCACTACATCTGGAAAATCACGTAAGAACAAATAAAAAGTATTTTAAAAGAGACCAGGTTGTTTGAAATCCTAAACGAATGCTAAAAATTGTCAAAACATTCTGGTGTCTGAGCCAGAGCGTCATCGAATTGCGATGTAATGTAAACAGAAATTATAGCAAGTTGATGTCAGTCAGCTTAGATGGTCCAAGCCAAAATTATATCGCATTTGAAGTTTCAATCTGAGTTAAAAATAGTGGAAGAAAAGCCGCAATTATACTTATTGTTACAATCCATTTAATAAAATGCAACATTTTTTTGTTTTCAGTTATTTTCATGAGAACGATTTGTTATTCCATCTCAATTTTTTTAATCTCAAATCGCAATGACGTAAATTATTATTACCCGCGAACCAATGAGTCAAATTTAAGAAACAACCCACTGTTAGATTAAAAGGCCTAAAAATTGCTAGTATAAATGTCAATAGCTTATTGAAACACATTGAGGAAATTAGGCATCTGTTATTTAAATTTCCCTTCGATATTTTTGCTATTAATGAATCCAAAATAGATGGTTCTGTAATGGATGGGGAAATAAGTATCCCTGGTTTTAACTTGATAAGAAAGGACCGTAATAGGGCAGGAGGCGGTGTGGTGTTGTATATCAGAGACAACCTATCCTATTTGGATAGGAATGACTTGGTGCCCGATCGTCTTGAGATGCTGTGTGCTGAAATTACTCGCCCCTTTAGCAAGTCGCTTTTTGTCTGCACATGGTATAGGCCTCCGAAGTCAAACTTGAGCTTATTTAATGATTGTGATGTATTTTTTCAAAAATGCGAGTCTGAAAATAAGGAATTGATTATAATTGGTGATATTAACTGCGATGTTATGAAAACCTCACCAGATGCCCATACACGACAATTAAACTTTTTGTGTTCTCTTTATCAACTTGACCAATTAATTAATAAACCTACAAGAGAGACCAACACCTCGGCGACCTTGATTGATTTGGTCTTAACTAATGCTAAAGAAAACATTTCGACGTCTGGTGTAATAGATCTGGGGATGTCTGACCATAGTTTGATTTATGTGGTCAGGAAGTTCACCCTTCCAAAACTTAAACCTAATGTGAAAGAAGTTAGGGATTATAAACATTTTAATGCTGAATATTTTATTGGGGATTTAGCCAGAATGCCTTGGCATGTAATTAATCAATATAATAATCCCAACGAATGCTGGAGGGTATGGAAATCTTTCTTTAATGAGATATTAAATATACATGCGCCGATTCGACATAAGCGAGTAAAGGGGAACTCGGTCCCATGGATTACTCCGGAAATTAAATGTATGATGAGAAACAGAGACTATTATAAAAAATATGCAATAAAACATTCCTCACAGCCACATTGGGAAAGTTTTCAATTTCTGCGGAATAAAGTGAATGTTGAAATGCGAAATGTAAAATCAAAATATTTTCATGATAAAATCACTGATTGCTCTGTAATGAATGACCCTAAAAAGACTTGGAAATTAATTAATTCATTATTGGGAAAGAATAACAAATCCAACAATGTGAATGAGCTGCTGGTTGACAGCACGTTAGTTTCGGATCCTAAATCTATTGCAGATGCATTTAATGACTATTTCATTAGTATTGGGTCGAGGCTAGCAGCAGAATATGTAGACGAGTCCTGTAGTAATGTTGATAATCAGCCCATAAACTATAATATTAATCAATCCTCAGATACTTTTTTTAAAGTATCTCCAATATCCGTTGATAGTGTTGCCTCGACCCTAAAAGGCCTAAAAGCATGTAAAGCAACAGGTCTTGATAAAATTCCTGCTAAAATTCTAAAATTATCTGCAAACATAATTGCACCCTAGTTGACATTCATCTTCAATCTGTCGCTTGCAACAGGCGAAAATATAGATGAATGGAAGCGTGCTCGTGTTACGCCAATATTTAAATCCGGGGATAAAAGACAATGTGAGAACTATCGGCCTATTTCAATTTTACCGGTGGTGAGTAAAGCCTTTGAGAAGGAAGTTTTCCGTCAAGTATATATAGATACTTGTCTGAAAGCTCTCTTCTGTCAAAGTTTCAATCTGGATTTCGTCCAAAGCATTCAACTGTAACTGCCCTCATCCAAATGTGTGATGAGTGGCTAGAAAATATGGACAATGGAAAGTTAAATGGGGTTGTGTTCATAGATATCAAAAAGGCATTTGACTCTATAAACCATCGCATTTTGTTAAATAAAATGAATGAGCAATTTGGAATTTTTGGCGTAGAATTAAAATGGTTTGAGTCATATTTAACAAATAGAGAACAGCAATGTAATGTTAATGGAGAATTATCTAGTAATAAAATTATCACCTGTGGAGTGCCCCAGGGATCTATACTGGGACCACTGCTATTCCTATTATATATTAATGATTTGCCCGATTGTTTGAAATCAACTAATGCATGCATGTACGCGGATGATACTCAAATCTTTTCATCTTCCTACGATGCAAATGAACTTGTTGTAAATTTAAATTCAGATCTTGCCCATGTCTGTAACTGGCTTAAAGAAAATAGGCTGCAGATGCATCCATCAAAATGTAAAATGATGTTTATTGGCTCCCCGTATAATCTTAATAATATAATGTGTGAGGAACCCGTTGTGGCTAATGCAAAACCCATATCACGAATTGCTACACAAATGTGCCTAGGAGTAAAACTAGATGAAACCCTTAATTGGGATAGTCACATTGAAATGATATGCAAGAAGGCGAGCGCTGCTATTGGCGCTATGAAACGTATAAAGCCCTTTGTTCCAATGCATACCTTAGAATCGATTTATAAAAGTCTTGTGCAGCCCTACTTTGATTATTGTCCCCCCCCCTTTGGGACACTTGTGGTAAGTTGCTAAGAGACAAGTTGCAAAGATTTCAGTCTCGTGCAGCAAGAGTCCTAACGGGTGCTAATTATAATACTCGCTCAGCTGATCTTCTCAACATGCTTTCTTGGGATACACTTGAAAATAGGCGGTCGGGTGCCAAGTCAGTATTAATGTATAAAATACTTAACGACCACACTGCGCCAGGTCTCCGGGGGTCATTCGTGAGAAGAGAAATAGATCAAACTAATTATCATCTTCGAAACACAGCAACTGATCTAACAATTCCTAAACCGAAACGAGAATTTCTTAAAAAAAGTTTTAAATATAGCAGCGCTATGCTCTGGAATCAACTCCCAAACGAGGCAAAATTGGCCGAGTCGCCTCATTCGTTTAAATCAATTGTTGGACAGCGACATGCTTCCTAATTATTTGTATATGGTAACGTGTACAGTATGTGTGTACTAATATTTAGTTTAAATTTTCCTTTTAATGATTTTCAAGATCTAAACACGCCCCCCATGGAAACCAGCCTAGAGTTGATGGGACTAGCGTGTTCTTCTTTCTGTTAGCCTGCGAACAGGCCCTGGGTTGCGGGCGGCGCGAAGAATAGAGGGCCTGCACGGATGATAGGTTTTCTTGGTAGTGGCGTTCGTATAGAAACGCAGGCTTCTGATTGGCTTACACTCGTTGACAAAATTACTAAAAATAGCAAATGTCAACAACAGCATTTTGAAGAATTTGAACTTTATTCATTTTAATATTATATATTATGGGACTATCGAACAAATAAAACTAGAAATGGAAACCAAAAGCAATAGCAAAGCATCACAGCAAAAAAGTCTATCATAAATGACTTGAATCTATCGCTTAAATCCAATATACGAAACTATAACAGTATTCTGAACTTCGTCTTCGGATTGACATCAGACCATAGTATAGTACATTTTGAGGTCGTCGTGGCTTCACGGATTATTCTCATTAGTGAGCAAGTCAGCAAGCGAAGGCATACAAAAGATACCCAAATATGTACGAATAATTATATTGTCGATCCTCGCTGGCATGTCATTTAGATAAATATATATCGTACATTAAACGTTGTACTGTTTACTGTATATTAACTGCTGACAATTTCGTCGTCGATACGGCTTCCACTATTGGCACACTCGTGATTTCGAAGAAATTAATAAATACATGCTCATTTATCATTTATTTAGACCACAGTTAGTAAAATTTTAAACGTATTCGGTATTCCAAATCCCAATCTATCTGACCGTATTTTAGTAATAGCTTCAAAATATTCAGAACATTGTTCTTTCAGTCGCACATAGTACAAGTATTACTGTACATTCAAAGCCAATGGTAGTTTATTCGGCTTTATATTTGTATGTGTATTGATATTTATTTAATATTTGAAGAATTCTATATTTTTCCGAGTAATATATTGTGCGGCCCGCTAATGCTTTGTATTATTATTGTTCATGTTGCACAATGTACACGCCTTGGGTCAATTTGACAGTTGACAGTTTATTTATCGCAGTCGACGCTGATTGGTTAGCGTTTAGCAGATGCGAAAAGGGGATGAATGAATAAAACGCATGGTTCCGTGCAGGCTCACCTTTCTCCCAGTGAGCCTGTTCGCAGGCTATCTTTCTGTTAATTTTAAATAAAGTATTACCTACCTACCTAGATAACTGACACTAAATGAAAACTTTATTAACACTAAATTGTAATTTTAGAACTCTTATCTCGCAGTAAGTATTTAAGCAAAGAGACATTGGTTTTTATTTGTTCAAATTCTAGGACAATATTCAATATTCTTTATACATATAGATATGCCCTTATAGAACGTTCTTTGAATATATCCGCGTTTTATCCTTTTAGATAAAACGCGGATATGACTTAAAAAGGGCTGAAAAACGTTTTTTGGACCATATCTGCGTTTTATCCTTTTGGATAAACGCGGATATGACTTAAAAAAGGCTAAAAAACGTTTTTTGGACCATATCCGCGTTTTATCCTTTTGTATAAACGCGGATATGACTTAAAAAAAGGCTAAAAAACGTTTTTTGGACCATATCCGCGTTTTATCCTTTTGGATAAAACGCGCATATGACTTTAAAAAGGCTGAAAAACGTTTTCTGGACTAGATCCGCGTTTTATCCTTTTGGATAAAACGCGGATATGACTTAAAAATGGCTGTAAAACTTTTTTTGGACCATATCCGAGTTTTATCCTTTTGGATAAAACGCGGATATGACTTAAAAATGGCTGAAAAACATTTTTTGGAAGCCATCCGTCCGTCCGTCCGTCCGCCATCCGTCCGTCCGTATCCGCGTTTTATCCTAACCCATATGCTGCGGTGTTAAACGTTGCTTTAATCCTATTAAAATATCGACAGTAGGTGTAAGGTTTTGTCTCCACTTAAAATAAAACTAAAGGTGATTTCTGCCTTTAATCAACATTTAAACCATACGTTAAAGTTCATTAAAGTATGCGCGCTTTAACGTTGGTTTTAATCCGCTTTAATATCCTCACTAAATGCAATTAAGTGTATCGGTTTCCAAAAGAGGTGTTTTATTCAGACTAAGTGCGATTAAATGTAACTTTTTCTTTAACCACCTTTAGTCAGCTTATTAAAGGTGTAAACAAACATTTAATAGCTTTAGTATTTTTGCTAAAGCTGATTAATGACACGCTTTTCGTCCTGCCAAAGGCTCGTCATACTATTTTGTAATGCGATATTGTTTGTGTTTGTATGTTCATACACTAAGCCTAGTGTATGTTGTAAGCTTAGGCAGCCTGTTTCATAAAAAAGAATCAGCTTTTAAATTATGGTAAAAACTAGACCATCTGCTCCCCTACATGATATCGAACAGCCAGACATATTCCTATAGATATAACTTCTAATATATATGTTAGTAGTCCGTGTGTGTCGTACCTCTTTATTAGTCTTTCGACGTATTTTTTTCAGTTTATGTTGTTAATCTTCTCTTCTCTTGGCGACTTTCAATTAACTCGCAAATTCTGGTCAAAATTCTGACTTTTCTTTTCAACTTCCAAGTTCCAACTAACTCAAAACAACACTTGTCGTTAATCACTTACCAGGAAATTATTTTAGTATTAGACGTGACCAGTCAGATCTCATATACGTCAACTCGTCACGAGACTGCTGAAATTTTCAACTTTTATTCTGCCAAATATTAGGTAGTGTCAAACATGAAATGAACGTGAATGATCTATTCGTCAACATTACTAAATTGGAGATTTTCTAGACTAAATAACTACGTTGATTTTTAGATAAGGGACTGTACAAACGCAAAGAATATTTAGCAGAGGGATGTGTGTTTAAAATTCGGTTCTTGCCCAGCTGTTAACACACCCACTTAGGTAAGGTGCTTACATGCAAGTAGCTATGCAGCCATAAAGTACAAATATTTTGACATGTATTTCCATAATATTTGCATCATACACGTAGTAACAACTTTTCTGAGATATAGGCTCTTTCGCAGTGTTTTTTCAGTTTATGTTGTTAATCCTCTCTTCTCTTGGCGATTTTCAATTCTGGTAAAGAATATTTAGCAGAGGGGTGTGTGTTTAAAATTTGGTTTCTTGCCCAGTTTGACACACCCACTTAGGTAAGGTGCTTACTGCTTCATGCAAATAACTTTTCTGCCATAAAGTACAAATATTTTGACAGATATTTCCATAATATATGCATCACACACGTAGCGACAACTCTTCTGGGATATAGACTCTTTGCAGTTTTCTATAAATAGTTGAGAGCAATAAGTGGGTGGATAGGATGGACAGCTGTGGGATGACCGCGTTTTTAATAAAGAATGGTTATATGTTATATCAATAGTCATGTCTGCACGAGTCGCATAATATTTTTCTTCTCTTTAACCTTTCCTGCATCTCGAAATTTTGCCAATATCTTGAAATATTTTAACAATTTTCCTCATTAGCATTCAGTACACGTCAGCAAGTTGTTCTACCTACTGTTTTATTCCGATGAGCTACTGACGGTTTTTGAGTCGAAATTTCTTACATTCTGCTCTGTATATTCTGTACAACCTCGTTCCCAGGGCTTCAGTGTGAGGACGAGGCGAGACACGAGGAAGCCCTGGTCCGGGCTGGTCACGTGACGTCAAAAAATGGCAGTATTTGACAGCTACTCGTCAAGGAGTGGCGAGATATTCTTTAACGAAATATACAAGTCTTCGAAACAAATAAATAGCCAAAAGACTTCTCAGTCGATATTATTTATGTGTAGAGCGAAGTTTGACACGAATCAGCTAAAATCTATGAAGATCCCGTCTATGTTTTCTAAGATATACCGATATTTCTGGAGATTTTCAACTACAGGCAAAGCTCTGCATCCAAGCTGCATCTAGGCGTCTCCATGCAAGTGGTGATTCACACGAAATTTCCTTTCTCTCGTCTTGAACAATATGGCTATTGCTATAATTAATATTCAGTTTAAATATGCTCTTATAGATTTGACTTAGTTCAATATATTAAATAAACACAAATATAAAACCTCGCGTAACCTGTTTACGCTGTACAGGAATATACGGCTCGCTTGTTTCGCCGGACACCAACACTTGCCGTTCAGGAGCAATGCTTGCCTACAAATTTTATCCTCTTCACAATCTTTGTTTTATTTTATCGTATAGTCGCAATTTTCAAGTATTCGGCGTATTCTGAAACTGAAAAACTGGGTGGCGTGCGAATCTTGTAGACTACATGGGCCTAGGCGTAGAGTTATTAAGTAAACAGGGCCTAAATTAATTTAGTAGTTTCATTTAATTGTTTGTCTTGCTTTTATTTGTCAGTACAAAATATTGTACATTAAAATATTACTACAATGCAATACGCGTAGTATTTCATCAGACATCTGCACTAATAAATACTGTACAAGGAAAACTTAAATAATAGTAGACATTTCTTGTTTTGTCAGGAAACATCACAGCTCACTTCGACACGGCTTTTGAGTTTTGTAACCGGCCGAGGCGAAAGTAAATCGTGCAGTCGGGAAAACGTCTTACTTTGAAAGATTATTTTGCAAAGCATACTCGTACACACAAGAATCATAAAAATACAAATGTTGAATTGTATTGTAATTTGTTCAGTGCTTCCATTTTCAAAATCAAAATTTCTCATTTTTGTCATCAAAATTTCTCTAAATTCCTTAGATTGTATACGTTATTTCCTTGAAATTTCCTTGAAATTTTATTAAGCAGTTCGCAGTGATTTTGTAGAATACAAAGGATTTAATTAATTTTAAAGGCACAAAATAGCACAATTAACACAGATGTGGGCTAGCTAAAAAACACAGGCTATTCAGTACTATTTAAATATTAAATATTTGTTATGAGTTTACAACATATACGTTTCCACTGATATAATTAATTAACTATTCAAAGTGTTTGGCGCCAAAAGTTACTAAATCCCATCGCTCAAAAACTTTCCTACGTTTTCGGAGACACGAAGAAAAAGTTATAAACAGATTTTTAATTAAACGTAATTGATAATTCACTCAATAATAAAAAAATGGTGAAACCTTCTTCTGCACCAATGCACTTGGATGAATATTTAAGGTTTTCGGAAAAATCCTTAGATTTCCTTAGATTTTTTCTCTTCCTTAGATTTTCCTTTTCGACCATAGAATTTCCTTAGAAAAGGAAATTTCCTTGAAAATGGAAGCACTGAATTTGTTATTGTCAACCGTCAAGTTCAGTTATTTTTAGACAATATGGTGTTAGCCAATCAGAATGCAAAAGTGACCGGCCCGGACCAGGGCTTTCTCGTGTCTCGCCTCGTCCTCACACTGAAGCCCTGGGAACGAGGTTGTATTCTGTATTCACGATTTTTACCAGATTTTTATTGATGTGCATTTGACACGACTACCACTGAAATTAAAATATCCCCATTGGGCCAAATCATCCCTCAAAAAGCAAATTCGAAAGAGTGGAAACTCGTTCTGTGGTCAAACCTAGAGTGATACTTTTGGGGTCGTTTTGAATTTATAGTGATATAAAAACGGAGACAGATTCCGTAAATAGCAGGGAAAGCTGGCTGATTAGTTAAAGGAATGCAGATATATTGTCATTTGCATCACTTCCGAGACATCTCAAACAGGAAATATCTGCGTGCATCCTGCGACAACACTGCGCATGCGAATATGTTTTCATCTAAAAGCAAGCTGTCTGTTCTACAATCGTGGTCAATAATGTTGAAGGGTCTGTACCAGTGTAGGTAGTGCCAATAATAACAAGCTTTCGCTGGTAGGGATGCAACTACCTGGTAACAAAATTCTCATTTGCCTCTGAGAGTTTTAAATCTCAACTAGAATATCGCTCATTCACCCTAAATAATGCTTGTCCAATTGCGTTTAAAAATGTGTGGAAAATAATAGCAGCATTGGATTCGAGAGAAAGGGCTAAACCCCCTGACTTAGTGAATGTGTTTTCTTAAAATGTCGATCTATTGTAATTTTAGTATGCAAAACGCGCAAGCTTGTACTACCGAGAGAAACTGTATGTTTGGTCATTCTGAGAACTGCATGACTCTTAACTTATGAAACATGTGAGGGAGGGGTCGTGCCTGCTCGAAGCACAGCCGAGCCAGCTCTATGACCAAGAGCATCAGTGGTCGGAGCCTATTCGAGTTTGTCCGAATGTTAGGAGCCCGCTCAGAAAGAAGCGAGGCACTTCGACAGGCGAAATATAGTGGATCTTTGTGTTGGCAATGTCAGGATTAGTTACTTACACGTTGTGTCGCCAACGTAATCTTGAATATTTGATGAGTGTACTGCCTCAAAACTGATGTGTTGCAGTACCTTGCGCCGCCTAACACATCGGACTGTATCTAAATTTCTGATGAAAAGTAACTCAAAACTAAGCTATTGCGAGTTTTAAAACAAGGCTACGTTTACTCTACACCGGATAACTCTCCGTAGCGGCGCGAAAAGCATCTTTCCCATACAGAATGTATACAGCTATTTCAATTAAGGTTGTCCCCGAGCAGAGCGGAAAAGTCGATTACGAGCGCGAAATGTTTGCTGGGAATCGCTAAAATAATTAATGAATTTTTAGCAATTCCCAGCAAGTTCCGCTTTGCTCGCAGACAACCTTTATTGAAATAACTGTACAACTTTCAGAGGCTGAGTGTAGCAGCCGTGACTTCCGGCTGACGGACTTCCGGGTTTTTCGCGCCCTTTTTAGATTGAAGTAGCTTAGCGATATCGAACTTTGGGACGCTTTGTGGTGTTGCTGACTTGTTCCTACGTTTTTCGCCAGATACCAGTGTCCTGTCATAGATATTTTTAAGTGTATACTGTAGATTGTCAGTATTTATATCTGTTTCTGTCCAGTATTCAGTAATTCGTATTTATCCGTGTAATTTCTGTGTATTTGTATTTGTATTTAGCACCGTTATTGATTGAAAATAAATTAAGAATTATTTAAAACGCGTTGAAACTCGAGACCTCACAACCAGTCTAAACAGCCGTGGGGCTGGCACACTGAGAGAAACAACATCTCTCCGTTGCAATAATTCCTCTGAAAATAGCGTTCCTAAAACCTGGTTTCCATATGGTCGTAATGGTCGTAAAAATAGAGTCACGATCTTTCTCAACGGCCAGTTTATAATAGTTTATATCTGTAAACCACATATAAATCATAAGTATTCTCTAGTTCTAACCATCTCGTGTATTTTCAGTTCAAAAATGTTGTATTTTGGCTGATGAGAAAGATCGTGACTCAATCTTTACGACCGTTACGACCATATGGAAAACAGGCTTGAAAGATAAGTGTTTTTTTCAGGTTGCTACGAAAGCTATATCCGGTTCAGTGTAAACGTAGCCTGAAATAGACAGGGGCATTGATTCTCTTGGAATATAAATATATCTATAGAGTAAATGGAATAAATCTCACGCATTTATTAGTACCAACATTGTCATTTATTGATTTTCCATTGATCAAGTTTGCTCGCCGGTAGCTACGTGAATGTCTTTCAACAAACACAACTTCTCCAGTAACTGCTTTAGTTATTTCTTATTTTCAAATACAAATATGTTGTTGACTAAAACCTCTATCAACAACTGTTTTTATTTACACTTATTAAGTTTCATGTTTCAAATGTGTTGTTGAGCTAAGGTATGCACTGCATGAAGTCTAACAGTATTGCAATATTCAAAACATGTTCATAAGTTCGATCACAACGAAGGTTTCTTTTGCGAGTGTTCTCGTGTTCTGCTTCTTCATTCTTCTGTAGCATGGTTTTAAATTTCATGTCGTGTCAACTCTCAGGCTTGCAAATTTCGCCAATTGTGTAATACTTTTACTTCGTGTATGTCCATCACGACGAGAGACACTTACGATGTTTTGCTGCAGTTTGAAACTTGTTTTGGAAGAGATAATCACAACTCAACTGTCACATAACGGCAATGTTATGGAAAGGAAGTCGTGTCTTGGAAAGACAATTCCACGGGAGAAAAGAAGATAACAAGTGACTGACATATAACTGAGGAAATATCAACCTCAAATGAACAATTTGTGTGAATGGTTTGCTTGAACAAATGTGATTAGAATTTGTGGTTCGTTCTTTAGAAAATCTATTCTTTAAAGCCTTGCCCTCACTGCGACGCAAAGAAATTAAAGCATAAGGGTTAAGGATCAAATGCGTTCTTTTCGCTTATGTTGTTTATGCTTGCGCTTTGTCTTGCGTTGTATCGAGGACATAGTGAAAACACAAACATAAGAACATCAAAGCGTTCTGCTTGTTTATTATCATTGCCGTCATACTTGCGTTGTAGTGAGGACAAGACTGCAGTTTTATTGTGTGTCATTGTTATAATCAACCAATCACAGAACCTTGTTCATATAGGTTGGAGACAACCACATATAACACAACAAATATATGACAAGACATTGTGACATGCAATACAATATTTGAAGAATAAAACAACAAATTCTGACAAATGAAAAATAGAGGAAATTCTGATATAACATGGCAAAAGTTTGATAGAAATTCAGGCATATACTCTGATATTTTCAAGAAATTAATATATCCCAATAGAGTTATTTTGAACCAATTTCAATTACAAATGTGGAGAAATATTTGATTCAAATTAACTTCTTGAAATGAACAGTATAACACAAGTGAAATGTGTTAGGACATTCTGACATAATTTTGAATGAAGACAAAATGAAAGTGCATATTTGATGCTACTTAATTTTGATCAATTAACACATTTTTACAAACAGTTTTACATACACAAAAAACAATAATAAATATTAGAACTGTAAAGATTGACAGGAATGAGGATCTTTCTTATTTTTTTCTCTCAATATAGCTTAATTTACAAATGGGCGGAAACATATAACATTGCTGTTTTCAACATGTTTATTGATACTTGTGCTAGAAATAGCCAGTCAGAGCTACATTCAATATTTTGCACCTATATAATATGTCAGTTTGGATAACTCCTGTTTTTTTTTTTAATTTCTGTAGATATACCTAATTAATCAACTCAAACAGATGCCTTTATTTTGGCAGCCAGTTGGGACCACAACAATGAACAATGATATCTTTTCCGGATACAAGAGCATCAAATAGGCAATTCCAGCTTTTAGTTTATGCCTGCTGGGGATGATGGGAAGTAAGGTATCATAGTGCTGATTATGCTGAAAATTTTCAATAAAAACTACCGAAGCAACCAAAATATTCCAATATTTACAAGTATAAGCTATCACTCCATGTTTACACGGCCATCATTTTTATTTTTTCAGCATAATCAGCAATGTGATACCTTACTTCCCATCGTCCCCTGCACACATGAACTAAAAGCTGTAATTGCATATTGTCCTGGTCTAAACTTTCAATGTCCCTGTTCTAGTTTACAGCACCGTCCATTGAAATTCTTTCTGGAGTTGTAGGCAATGTTCCACTTTCAACAGTTTCTCATCAACTTTTGGTAGCAACAGTAATGACATCATTGGAACAATTTATATCATTGCCAAATGACACTTTGTATTCTGTGTACATTAGTTCATACTAGATTGACATATCATCCATGGAATTATTCTGTAGAATAATTAAGATATTTGTATGTTACCATAGTCACTACTATAGGTTCACCTGGCAATGATAAATCTAATTAATTATTGTTATTTGTTGTTTTAAAATTTCCAAAGTGAAAGTTTTGAACTCATTTATTGGGTCATTCCAGAAAAGATCCACACT